CTACCCTAATCTGGCCACTTTGCCAGTTGGTCCACGCAAGGTGTGCTTGCTTTTATCCAACTTTTGGAGCTGATCCTCCTGTTTCCTCCACCTCTTATCATTTTCTCAGTTGGAGTTGGCCCAAAGTGTCTCTCCGCTGCTCTGTTTCCATGCTCCTTAGCAATTTTATTACTTCCGCTTGAAAGCAACTTTATATCAGTCTCTTCTGCTTCAACATCTGATGGGGTGGTTGATGAAATGATATATTTCATTCAGATATACCATACTACATATCACAGCTCACAGCTCCGCCGCCTCCGCTTGCTCCCCCCCGCACTGCGATTGGCTGAGCGAAGAGACTCGTGCCTTCACCCGCTCCCCCGCTGGCTTACAGACTCTAAAAGTGCAAAGCAAGCGCGGGAGCGAGCGAAGGAACGCGCCTCTTCGCTCAGCCAATCGCAGCGCGAGGCAGAGACCGTCCAAATACAGTGCGAGGCAGCGGGGCTTCCTGGTCTCAGACGGCGCCAAGAGGTGGAAGGGACCGGAGTGGCCGAGTATTTCTGCGGTAAGGTATGTATGCAGTAGAGGGGCAGCGGAGGGCCATGGTGGGCTTTTGTATTTGCCGTATAAGAAGCAGGCACTTTCCCCCCCCTGATTTTGGGGAGAAAAAGTGCGTCTTATACGGCGAAAAATACGGTAGCTAAAACACGCATGGGTACTTACGCTCGAAATTATGCAAATAAGGAGATTAATCGAAACTGAACTTCTGTTGCATGCGTCTTGAGAGTACAACAGCAGTTCAGATTTTACAAATCAGTTACTAAAAAACTAAGAACTTCTGCGCTAAAGCGCTATCTCACGCAATACAAACGTTACCACCAAAGTTCTCTCTAACCTTATATTCTCATTCTTATGTACACTCACTTCATATATAACACAGTGCGTCTGTAAAGTCATGGTGCACTTTTGATCGGTCACAGGAAAGCGACAAAACAAGATAGAAATGTGAAATCTTCACCAAACAAAAGAAAACCTCTTAAAGTTTCGTACCGATTCAGTGCAGTTCGATGTGGTCTCCATCCATGCCGTCGCAGTCTGCTCTGGAAAGAAAAATGGTCCTATCACTTTATCATGCATCAGGCCACACTACACGCTCACTTTAGGGCTGTCACGTTCGTACTCTACGTAGGCATGAGGATTTTCAGCAGCCCATATTCGGATGTTATGGCGATGAACACGTGAACTTTCTGCAAAAGACTGTGTTTATCGCCTTATCGATAAACATAATCTTTTGCAAAAATCGGTTATCATTGTCGATCTCATGAAGCCTACCTGCAGCAAACGCAAATCGTTTGGATCTATCCGTCAGTTTTATAGCATGCTGCAACAGCTGCAGTTTGTAAGGGCTTCTTAGGTAACTCTTCCATATAGCCTTTACAGACTCGTCACTGACCGATGGCCTGCCAAAACGGGGTTTCTCCAACAACCTGCCGGTATCCATCAACTGCTTATCCCACCGATTAATGCTATTCCTATGTAGCCGCCCAGTCGGTATGGTGGTTAGGGAAGGTAAACCGCTGAGTTGGCTTTCGATCCAGGTATAGATATATCCATGCAGATTGTTACTAACTCGGCGGGAGTCACCACTAGCTACCAGGCCGCAGCCCTGGGCACCCCGGCTGAGAAGACGACATTTATAAAATGCAAAAAAGAGATATACATATGCTACAAGGCCTTAAAGAGAGTACAACAATGTAAAAAGAAATATATACTTGCATACAAGGAGCTTGAAGAAAGTACAATCAAATATATGTATATACAAATAATACAAACTCATATACAGATATATAGTACACCTTACATAAATACGAGTATATATTCAGAAACAATAAAAGTATACATACTCTCACTCATATTGATATATCCAACCATACAATATGTTATCATGATAGTTAAAGTTAACAAGAAGCATGCCATTGAGGTACGCGTGATCCTTAGTATAATTAGGTACCAAATAAAGATATAAGCATGTACAATACATTAACTGCATTCAGTACAGTACGAACTTATGTATTAGATCTGGCACAGCATAAATACAGAATTACTATTGAACATACTATCACATCTCTCTGTTGCTGACATAATTGACTAGCTTATATAGACTTTTGACTACTATCTTCCAGTGTCAAAGAGTAATTGCAGTACAGTAGTCAATTATTGTCTTCAGTTTCCGCAGGGCAACTCTGTTACTTTTTAGATTCTGGAACCAATTTGGCCAGAATCTGGCTCCTGTTGTTTGGTTTTAATGCTGTTGTGGGCAGGAGAACACAAAATGGTCTGGATGAGCCTCCTCCCCCCATTCACAGTTACCATTTTCTATATGGCAGCGGTATGAAGGAAAAAGCGGTAGAGGTATGAAGGAAAGGGCCCATGGCCTGTGAGGAAATAGATCATGTAATTGCTATTAGTTTGGATTGTTGTCTTGATCTTGGGAATGAGATTGTAAACACATCTCCCTGTGGAGGCTTGATCCCAACGTTCTTGCCATATTCTTAGGAGCTGATGGTGGTTAGGGAAGCTGTCTGTGACGCCGAAGGGCCTGGGTTCGAATCTCGGAGAAGGCATGGTTGTAACAGTCCGTCCCGGCATAGGAAAGGCGATGGTGGCCCACCTATTAGGTGCCTCCATAATAAAGAGACCACCACATCCGGCCTTGTATAGATTAATGGACTGGGTTACATTTGTAATTGTTCACAATCTGCCATTGGAAAAAAAAATGTAATTCCTATGTGGTGGCGGTTCGTTGTACACGCGGAGATATTCACGTTGTGCTTTGGTCCAGTGATTCGAATTTGGCAGGCAATAAAACACACTGAACTTTCCTCTCTACGTCGACATCTCGACTGGCGTGGGCATGGATGAACTGATCTACTGCTTTGTAATTCGCGGTGTTGCGTCATCACCTGTGTGGGCACATGCTTACACATCATACCACGGAAACTTAAAGAGTTTTTCTTTTGTTTGCTGAAGACTGCATATTTCTATCTTGCTTTATTGCTTTCTTGTGACCAATCAAAAGTGCACTATGACTTTACGGACGCACTGTATATATCTGAAGTCACGCTTTCGAGACATGTACTTCGAGCAAGTTAAATTTCGTCAATCAACACAGTAGAACAGGAGATATAGAACTATGCTTTTCCTTTTCTTTCTTTTTTTTTTTTTTTTTCCTCCCAAACCCCAGATGGGCGTCAGTTTCGAAAGTTCGAGGGGGTTATATTTCGAAACAATGGCTATTAGTTTCGAAACAGCATTTTGCATCGAATCGCTAAAAGCGTTGTATCACTTTTCGAATTGCTGCCGCCAAATATTATCGTCTTGTGTTATATTTAAAGAAATTAAATAATGAAGAATCTGAATGAATGTATGTATGTTTCTAGCACTGTGAAAAACCTAGGTACCTAAAGCCATCGAATTTTAAATTACATAGTCCTCCACCATGGGCACTTGGAAGCCCGAATTTCGAATTTTATATTTCATATTTCATAAAACGTTTAACGCATTTTTGATTAACAAATTTCTATGATTTGATAACGAGCAGTGGCAACACTGCTCGGAATGAAACATCTTTATCTGCAAAGCGTGAGACTGTCTATCGGAAATTCTAAAGATATGCTGTATGTAGATATTTTTAACCCAAAGGGACATTAGCCGAAATGCTCGTGGAAACACGTATGTGTGTAAATGAAAAAGATGCTCCTTTGGGCGTAATATAAAATCTGAAAGCTTTTGTAAAGCATTTATGAGTTTTTGATTAAGAAACTCAACAATATCAAGCCGAGCAATGGAAACACTGTACGGGAAAAAAAGCATTTTTATCTCCAGCGCGCGAGACTGTGTATGGGAAATTCTAAAGGTATGCTCTTTTAGATATTTTGTGATATTGCTGTTGAATTGAATTTTATAGATTAAGTGCGAAGAACATGATATTTAATAAATAAAGGTAACGCACAAAATGTTAAAAAAGCGCCCCATCGGTGCGTAATATAAAATCTGGAAAGCTTTTAGTTTTTTTTTTTTTTTTTTTTTTCCGTGCATTGTGTACGTGTTTTACTGGAGCTTACTTTTCTTTTATAAATCAATGTATTATGTATAAGAAAAAAGCAAAGGTGCTAATGCTTTTAAATATAAATCCACAAATTATAATTGCAATATAACTTCGTGAAAATCTTTCATTAATTTGGGCATTAGTTCAACCAATCAATCAGTGAATCACTAGCCGGGCAAGAGTGAATTGAATCAATTACATAAACAAAGAAATTCTAGACGTCAGTAGTTATCATAAACAGTATCAGTAGTTATGATTGATATGTCAGTAGTTATGACTGATATGTCTATCAGTAGTAAACTATCTGTAGTTGGACTATCAGTAGTTATAATTGATATGTCATGTGAAATTAAATGCAACGTATGTGAAATTAAATACAACGTTAAGTTCACAATGCATTTATGAAGTGTTGGGACTGATTTTTTTCAAGCAGTCCCAGGGACACTGAACAATGAATGACTCAAGAAGGCAGGGCTTAATTTCTAAAATTAGCCCTATGGAAGACCTAAAGAGAACAAGAGTAAATAAATAAGTAAAATGACTATTAAACTCATTAATAATTTTAAAATTAAATAGTTAATTATTATCAAACAAATTAATAGCTATTTAATTAATGTTTATAAATTGCTATTTAATCAATAATTATTATATAATTAATTAATTATAATTTAATTGATAATTATTAGATAATTAATAAAATATTATTTATTGAAATACATAGGATAAATAGGATAAATGATTGAAATAAATAGGATAAATAGGATGATAGGATAAATGATTGAAATAAATAGGATGATAGGATTGAATTCAGTATTTTTATGGTTCTGATACATTCTTAGTGATTATAATTCTTGTTATAAAGTTATTATTTTTCTTCTAAAATTGATCACTATATAACCTTTTTCCATTTCAGAATTCTTAAAACATTAATCTGCAGAAAGATCTCATGCAAAAGTGAAGAGCATGTACACCATTTAGTATAATGGTAAAGGACAGCTTGTTGCCCAGTTTATTTTAGAAGTCCAATAATGAGTTATCAACAGATGCCGAACTTATTCACAATTTTTAAATGAATTGTTTGCACTATTTTTTTTATTTGCATTTGCGTTTTATGTGTGAATTTGCCCCGAAAAAAATTCAAGAAACCAATGCTTTTGAATTTTATGCTTGAACTCTCAAAATCTTTATGCTTTTATACAGAGGCTGTTCACACATTTTTTAGACGAAGTATATTGTATTCACAAAACTAAATTACATAAAATTCTTGTGTTTTAAATGTTCCTATTTGACATCACTTATTCTGAACTCTCTTTCGACAAAACCGCATTTCCAGGATATAATGCCTTTTGAGTTAGTAGAATATCAGTGAAGGTATGGCCTTGATACAGTTTTTGTTCCATTTCTTTTAGGAAATTTGCGTGGGTTTTGATGTTACTCCTAGCTTTGTCCTGATGGAGTCTCACAGATGGATGCACTGTGGGTAAAGCGATGGTATTTCATTCGAAAAATCGCAATAAAATATGTTCCTGACAGTATTTGGATAATCTTGACATTTTTTTGCAATCTCTTTATTTTTAACTTGCCATTATTGAAAAACCAGCAACAATTATGAATCCCTTAGAAAACTTTCTTTCGATTCTTTGAACCATGTACTTAAATTTTTTCTTCCCTTTTATGACAATAAACAGCTCTTTTTTTGTTACAATCATTTAAATACACCCATGCTTCATCTATTGTGACAATAGTTTTCCATTTTTCTTTGGATAAGGGTTTCTCATATAGAATTGTGCAGCGTGTCCCGCGTTGAGCGATATGCTTTGGAAGAAGACGATGCACATTGCGTGTTTTCGCTTTCTTAAGATTTAAAAACGTTTATCATTTTATTTACAGTGGACACCGAGTATTTTAATGATTTTGCAACTTTCCTTTGACTAGGGGAATTTCCTTTTAACATTAAACAACGTACCTTTGCAATAGTCGAAGATGTCCGTTAACGTGACTGATTATTAATTACTGTTTACTGATTTTGCTTGTCATTTTTCCTATTCCTCAGTCTCTTCAACGTTATTTTACTTTTGCAAATAGTTTAATGTTACTTTTTATGTGGTTTTATTTTTGTAAAAGGTTTTAAAACTTATTGATTCAACTGGAGAAAAGACAGAGAATTATTTTATGTTTGTCAGAGCAGTCCTTGTCCCACTTTTTAAATTTAATTTTTAAATATGATTACTTTTAATTCCAAAGAGAGGTGCTTGTTCTAAATTTTTAATGTGTCAGCTTTAATTACTTTTATTATTTCTATGTATGAGATATCGCTAAGTCTAAAACACCATACCATCTTTTCTAAATCTCATGAAAAATGCTCTTTAACTTACACGGTAGTTTAAATTCGCAAATCATTACTTAATAGTTACGGATAGCTTTTCGAATAAATATATGCTCTATATTGATGCTCTGGATTTTCTGTGGAATATGCATGAACTACAGAATTCTAGGTTAAAGCTGAAATAGCATCATTCCTTTTTTCGTTTGCTCCAGTGTTTTATCATTGATAAACAAGCTAACCTTTCTTACTCTGATAAAAAAGATACAATCTTCCGTCTATTAAAATTCAACCAAATGGATGGTTCCTCAGAAGGTGCTTCATTTCTATGCATATTTTTTTAAATGATATGTATGGCGATTTTGTAAAATTAAGATATTTTTTATGATTATTTTGTTTATAAATTTTGCAATGCAAAAGTTAAGAAAATTTATGCACTATTGAACAGGCTCTATGCTTGTTTATAAAAAATGTCCAAAATAAACTGAATTCAGTTTTGTTGTTTCACAAAGTAAATGTAAAATAGCTTTGCAAATAAAAAGGCCATATTCAGTAATTCTGTGTTAAATTTATGTCTTTGAATTTTGTAAGAATAATTATGAAGAGGAGAACATTGAGAAATTTATACAAGTTGTTGTAGAGTCATTAGGTTAATTGGAAGCCAGAGAGATGAAAAATTAGCAAACGCCTTCGCCGGGAATCGAACCACGGACCTTTGGAATACCGGCCCAGCGTGCTACCGTTACACCACGAAGGCACGCTAGGGAAATGGGAGAAATACCTTATAGTGTGACACAAAAAAAAAAGAAACGAGACTGGCGCAATAAATCATTCCACTTACAGAATCAGTTCTCTATAGCGTTATCACTTTCAAAGTTGTTCCCTTCAGCATTCCACACTTCTGCATTCGGTGCTGCCATTGCTGGTAACAGTCGAGGTTTTTGGAAGGCCCTTCAGGAGTTTCTCCGTTTTTGCTTGAACCTCTTCAGCTGAGGTAAAATGGGTTCTCTTTAAGTAAGATTTAACTTTAGGAAATAAAAAAAAAATGTCGCACGGAGCCAAATCTGGTGAATAAGGAGGATGCCCCATCACAGTAATGTTTTTGCTAGTGAGAAACTGCTTGACAGATAGGGCCATGTGAGCGGATGCATTGTCCTGGTGCAGCAGCCATCCATGACTCCACAACTATGGTCTTTTTTTTCCCTAATTTTTTCCCGAAGTCTTTTTAGTACTTCAATGGAGTAGTATTGATTAACAGTCTGACGACTGGGAACCCATTCAATCATGATAAACGTGCTGGGCGCCCAAGGGGTAGCCCAGCACGTTCATCATCTTCCAAACTGTCCCTTCCCCCTGTAAAACGCTTGTGCCATTCAGAAACACATGCATGAGACAAAGTTTCATCTCCATAAGCCTCGGTTAACATTTGAAATGTTTTCTCCATCGCTGACTTCTTAAGTTTCGCAAGAAACTTGATGTTAATTCACTGTTCGGGTTTCTACATTAGGCATTTTTTCCGGCAGAATGCAGTTGCACGTGTTCACTCAATGACGCAGTACTCCCCACTGGCATAGTCGGTTAAGTGGAAACTGGCCGCATGGATAGAGGAGGTGTATGGCATGATGTCACCAAATCAGTTGTTGCCAACTCCGCTCTGTTTTCAAGCTACACACTTAGTTTCGGGTTTTTTTTTTTTTTTTTTTTTTTTTTTTTTTTTTTTTTTTTTTTTTTTTTGGAAGGGGGCTAATATTTGGAATATGATAACAGGTAGTTTGGCAACATTTTGGCAAGGCGATAAAGGTAAGGCTAGGATTTGGTAAGGCTAGGACTTTTAGCAGTGTACATGGATAAAGTCAAGAGTGTGCGCAATGCCATTTTTGCGCAATTCTGGGATTTTTTTAAGTGAAAATAGGTCGACGTGTGGATACCGTGTATGTGCAATTCTTAAAAACGCGGCAAGCAGCGATTCTGCACTTTCTCCCAATTTCGCACCTAATCTTCGTCATGATTAAGCACTTTTGTTCCATAAAAGTTCTAGCATAAGCGTAATTCGGCTAGCAGATTGTTGGAAAAAAATGTTGAGTTAAAAAAAAAATGCCTTTACTTCGTGAAAACAAAATGCCGTCCCCCCCAAAAAAAACTAGCAGGTTGCTGTAGAAGGGTTGGTCGCCAAATTTTCGCCAAAAAATCGCCAAGTTACCATAATCCGAAGATTAACCTTTTTTTTATCACACCTGGTAAACATTGCTGAAAGAGGTTAAAAGTAAAAAAGTGAACAATTCTTAAAGCAACAGTTGGCGTGATAAACAAATATTTGCGGAACAAGGGTTTGTATAATCCTCTTCATTCCAAGCAAATTCCATGACATCATATCATCTCTTATGAAATAAATGGAAATTTAATTCCATTCCTTTCAGCATTACACAAAATATTACACAGTATAAGTATGCAGAAAGTATTACACACACACAAATGTATATAGTGATTCCCAAAATAAAGAATTTTGAGTGTTATCTAAAAATGCCCAGTTATTTGATTACTAATATAATTGATGAAAAATATAATAACTTACATATTATCACTCAGAAGTTTCTAACAAAGGTTTAGACAAATTTTAATGCCATAATTTGAAAGTACACATAAAACATTTAAACTACCACTATTTCAAATTTTTCTTAAGATTTGGGAAAGGTAGTGTACCTGTAAAAATATTTCTTCGGCGCACTTTTAAGGGAAATTAAAGGCATCCAAATGAGATCTTGAAAGGCTCTAAACTAATGCGAAACTTTAAGTGATAGCAGATGGTTCAGTTTAAGATTATCAGAAAAGGAAAATATCTTCACGTTATTACGAAAATTATAGAAAAAATTAAACTTTTATCTTTAAATAAATGAATTTCAAACTGTGTGTGGCTTATAGAAGTAGAACCAAGAAATGTTCCAATATTTTGTACTACTGGATACTTACTTCCCGTAGTTTAAGAGTCGAATCATAAATGTGTTGATTCTACGATAGGAAGAATATCTAGAAGACATTCTGCAAACCAATTAATTTGAAAAGTTCAAATCAATCAATAAATCTATCGCTTTATCGATTGATTTGAACACGAATCTGAAGAGCTTATGTGGGCAAGTTCTCATGTGTTCAAAGCTCCTCCGATGCCAAAGATCCATCTGAACTTACGTCTATTGAAGGACATCTTATTGTGTTGCCTTGCAATATGACGCCAAAGGTAAAGTTTGACAGCAGAGAACTAACTGACTTTTTGTTATCTTTAAAAAAATTAATAGGCTTTACAAAAACCCATGACTGTACAAAAATGGATTTTTCACTGGTCCTGGGATAATAGGCAAATTTCATGAAAAGTTAGTTCAAAACAGAAAGGACGACAGCTATGACCAGCTAGATTTCAAGGTTTCAAAAGATGTGCAAAGAAAAAGGGTTCACCTTCCCACCAATTGAAAGTTATTTATTCGATGACATATTTGTCCGAAATATGTACTTAACTAGTATTGTTGCGTTTTGTTATTCTTCTGACACAATTTGTTGCGTTATTTTCTTCCTTCACGTTCGTACGGGGTTTGTGGGGATTTGGAGGGAATAACGACGACACTTGATGAAGTATCGAAACACACTTTATTAGCCAGTATTGTCAGGACAGCTCCAAAACACGTTTTACAGTCATCGATGAACAACTATAAACACGCTGACACGATCAGCGACACAGCCTTCAGGTTATCAGGCTATCACGGTGGAGACAGCTTCCTGCAAAGCACTTGACTCTGCTTTCCGGAGTACAGCTCCCGAATCTGCTTGGTCGTTCTCGGAACTCCACGTACTCTCGAGACTCTCCACGCTACAACTCGCGATGCACTCGACGACGCACGAGCACAGCTCGTGACTCTTCGGTTCAGTCGTTCCCGGAGCTCAACATGCTCTCTCGATGATGCACTAGCCGCGATACACTAA